GAAAAGCCGACCGAAAGCTCTTACCGAAGCCGCCCCAAGGACCTCGTCCCAAGAGACAAACCTATTCGCGGACCGAGGTACTTTCATTACACTCCGCTAAATACAAGCCGATCGACTGTATTGGATCAAGCACTTGGTAGGCAGCCTGTCCCGCAAGGTTAGGAACCCCACATCTCTCCCTAGCAACTTGATCACTAGACATTGTTCCCATGGTTCACACAAACGCTTAAGAGTTGGTGCTATGATGCTGAACTTGGGTAACAACCGATCTCCCCCCTTGAATTCCAGCGTCATAGCCCCCTCCTTAATAAGATCGCGAACGATCAGCCTCTCAGCTGGGGCACCCAGTACCTTCTCCTTGAAGGTCATTGTCTGGCTCATCTTTAGGCCCCCATCGCCTTCATCCGGCGGCTCCGATGGTGGTTGGCGTCCCATAGGCATTCCCCAAACCCTCTTCATTCTAAAAAAATGTGTTTACTAGTAGTATATGATGTTAACCTATAGTAACTTTGTAAAGGCAAAATATAAAATAAGTATATATGATGTTATTTATATATATAAATATTTGTAAATGTAAAGGTAATTTCTGTTTTCAAAACTTAGATAGAATCACCCTTATGTGAGAATTATTTAAGTGGCTTTTTTCCATGAAGTAATACAGGTTACATTATTACAACAGTTTAATTTCTGCAGGGGCAACAATTTTTATACTATTAACTGGTTAAAAATTACGGTAGGTAAAACTTATAAAGTAATTTGATAGAATAACAATTTGTTATAAATAATAATTATTTCTAATCAGAAACAACACTTTAAAATCTTATTTTTTTATTATTATAAATATGCATAACACAAGTAAATCTGTTGAAATTTTTTAGAGAAATTATTTATTTAATCTATTAATATGATATACGTACGAGTAATTAAAAAGAGTAAATAATTTATGTACTAATAGTGTAATTTTCTTATATTATCATCTGATTACAAATCATAATATATAATAAAATTATTAATTTTTATAATAATTATTTAAAAAAACATGATTTTTTTTATTGATTATCAGTATAATGATACATATAGAAACTGAACTCATGTCCACAAAAAATAGAAAAAGAAACTGAACTCCAATAAAAATACAAACTTATTATTGCTGCTGTGGTTGTACAATAAAAAATTTGTTTCAATATTTTTTTTTTTTTGTATTTTGGTGATAAATTAAATTGGACTTGTTGTATGGGGCTTGATGGGTGTTGGATTAGGCCCATAGGCATAAGAGCAGAAGCTCCTGCACCTTGATTGGAACGGTGAAGGGTCTGTTAGCTTAGGGTTTAGGGCAGAGAAAGAAGCAAGAGAGAGAGAGAGAGAGAGAATGGAGGGCGGAGAAGAAGGAGTGGAGATGGTGGTGGACTCGAAGGACTTACAGCAACAGAGCAAAGCGTTGGACAAACTCACTGACCGCGTCGAAGATCGCCAACTCGATTCCACTCGCGTCCAAGAGGCCATGGCTTCCATCGCTGCTTCCGCCGAGGCTGATCGCAATGCCATGCGCATCAGGTCACTGCTTAACTTTTGAATTCTGAATTATAGCTTTTATCGATTCCTAAGATTTAGAGACAATGAAAAATTACTTTAAATGTATCATGTAGATGATGTATAGGGTTCAATGTAATAATTTTTAACTAGAAACAGATAAAAACAACTTAATCATATGTCTTGTAAGGCTAAATTATTAGGTATATATGAGTTTGTGAAACCTCTATTGTAGAAGAACGGAAAAGAAGTGATGAAATACTCAAATAGAGTGCATGCATTGAATGAGTGTCGTTGCATGACAAATGAAGTAGTGGAATAACCAAATAGGATAAGTTTAGAGGTGCTCCTTCAATTCCTTTTTCATTTAATAATTTAAGCTTATATGACTTCTCAAAATTTTTCATGAAATTTGGTGAATGAAAAGTAAAAGTAAAATGAGAGAAAAGAAAAATAATGAATTTTATGATTTATGTAATTGTTACATGATTGTACAGGTTCATTCTTGTATTGTAAGATACAAATTCATTTAAGATGCATGTTAATGATAAGAATCGGTAGGTAATTCAATTGTATCAAATAATTGGATTCAAATTGTGAATCATAAGATTCTAATAGCTATACTAGGCTAGAATCAATCAATCAGACTGAACACCACATCCAACTAAAACCTTAAGACATTAAGTGTATGAGTCTGATGAACCTCAATCTTACTTGCCATTGTTAGAAGTACCGAGAACAGACAGACCAGTGAGAACCACTGTATCAGAGAAGTGAGGACCCTTGGACTTGAGACACAAATGGAAAAGAGAAAGTGAACAGAAACAATCAAACTAAAAGGCAATAATGGCTGTAGAGATCAAAGAATCAAATAGAATGGAGGGAAATGGAAAAGAAGCTGAGAGGAAAGGCAATAGAGTGAAACAAAGAAGCAGAAAAAGAAGGAACAGAGAGGTTACATGGAAAAATCCAATGGGTTGTTCACTAGACATTGAGTATATTGTTGTTTGGTTTTATAATATGGAAGTCATGGAGTGGAGAGGTGTTTTATAGTCCCTTTTGTTTAAAACACAAACAATTGTTAAACAGTCAAGCTCAAGAATCATCAATAATTTTTTTAAAAAAGAAAAGGCCTACAATGCTTTTTTTTTTTTGCCATGAACACCATAGCCACCATGTCAAAAGCAGCTGCCATAGGCTGCAATGTAAGCCCACGATGCCATTAACATTTGACAATGATCTGCTGAAATTCTGCAACCAATTACACTGTTGCCACTATTTGACAACACTGGGTCCGGCAGTTATTTTCTTCATAAATTAGTGGGTGTTCCCCTCCTTAAAAATGTTGAAAAGATAGGGTGCTGGGTTGAAATTTACCCATGAATTTTCACAGATTTACGCATCCATATGCTTTTCTGAACCGAACCCCATATAAGCCTTGTTCAGATGCTGCATGCATGTAGCTCCCATACATCTAATTGAGTGAGCAATTGGTTTCCTAGTCGCATAGCAGTTACCAAGAACTAAGAAATACATTCTGTTTTTAGCGGGTGACGTCGTAACTCCCCACACCCCTCACAATAGGGCGGAAAAGGGAACGTGGGACTTCAGCATGTTGCGAATTGCTCCCTGAAAAGGACGGGGGAGAAAGAAGTTAAGAGGAGGGGGTTCTTAGGGTTGAAAGTAGGTTTTTTGACACAGCTTAAACTCACTCTTGAATGCTTTAGCGACAAATATCTTAAGCTTTTCTTTTACCTCTTTTTTTTTGTTCTTGTATATGAATTGAAATATCATTTAACATACTAATAGAAATTTTAAGTGAAGTGCTTCTTTAGTTTTGATTTGAAGTCATGATTTAAACATAAATGAAACATGACTTTGTGAAAAACCCTATAAAGTTGAATGTAAATTTATCCATTTTTCCTCGTGTGGTCTGCATTAATGGTTTGTTTACTTCTATCACTAAACTGCAGTATGCATTTTGATCCAATCACAGGGAGAAAGAATTAGCTGCTGTTAAGATCAATGCAGCAGATGTTGATATAATTGCAAATGAACTAGAGGTAAATTTTCAAACAGGTTGGCCATCAATCCATGTAGAAGTTTTTATTCCAATGAATTGATGTATTTTTCTTATTGTTTCCAACAGTTGGACAAAAAGGTTGCTGAAAGAACTTTGCGGGAACATAAAGGGGATGCAGTTGCCGCCATTCGGCACTTGCTTCACTAGAGAGGTGGAATGAACAAGGGTGAATGCTTTAGAAAATTATATGTATCAATTAATATTGTTTTTCGACGAGTTTGAATCTCGAAAGTATACTAAGACCTAATTTATTAAGAAATCTTAACTTTGTTATTGTTCAACAGGGTTTACCTCCCTCAAAATTTTTCTGTGCTGTATTTTATATTGTTTGGATACAGCATGTGATTACCATGTCCTCAATTCTGATACTCATTAGGAGAGGATATGTTGTGGACGCATTTTGGACATTTCGATAGATCGTGTTCATACAAATTAGATACGTTTTCATTGCGGATATTTATAAAATTGACGTGTCTTCATTGTGGATACCTATGAAACTGATGTGTTTTCATTGTGGACACTTATAAATGAACACGTCTCTATTCTGATAAATTATTTGATACGTGGATTCAAGACTTTAAAAAAAAAATCTCGATAAAAAAAAATAAAGAAGAGATGATTTGAGTTTTTTTTTTTTTTTTTTTAAAAAAAAAAAAAAAAAACTCAAATCATCTTTTTTTTTTTTTTTTTGGGTTTTTTTTTTCTTTTTTTTTAAAAAAAAAAAAAAAAAACTCAAATCATCTTTTTTTTTTTTTTTTTGGGTTTTTTTTTTCTTTTTTTTTAAAAAAAAAAAAAAAAAAAGATGATTTGAGTTTTTTTTTTTTTTTTTTAAATAAAAAGAAGAATAAATCTCAATAAAAATAAAGAATAGAGATTTGAGATTTTTTTTTAAAATGAAAAAAAATGTTGATAAAAAAATCTTTATAAGGAAGAGAACTGTTCTTGTTTTTTCCTTATTTAACTTTCTCGTGATAGAAAAGGAATTTTTTTAATAAAAATAAAAATAATGAAAGGAGGATTTGAGATTTTAAAAAAAATTATTGTGAAATATAATATCTCTTAATAATATGTTATTATTATATTAATATATAATATTTTGTCATATTATTTATAATATATATATATATTATGTTTACATGTATTATATTTTTTGATTTTGTTGTATTCTTATGTCAGCATTGTATCTTTGTGTCATGTCCGAATGGCTATATTCAAAGTACCTGTTATCTAATGGTAGAGTTAAGTGCTTCTCGAGGACCTCCACGTGTCTCATCATACATATGCTTGCTCGTTGAACATATATTTTTGTCATCATCAGGCTCAGCATGTGATTGTTTCAACTCAAACAGAAGGCCTTGCTTTTGATGTGCTTTTGTAAATTGTGGTATGCGATGCTTGTGTTAGTAGCATCTCCTATTTTGTTTGTTGCATCCATCCAAATTGGTAAAGCTAGATTTCAGATGTTTGCCAATGTTTCCCGAAATGGACATTGATGGGATGGAAGTGTCCACAATCTTGCTAACTTTTTGCCAATTCAAGAAGATTCCGATAAGAAATATGTTGCTGGCTCCATAACATGGCAAGGGCACCCACTCTATGGTGTCCTTTCTTTCATTTTCCATACACCATATCAATGTCGTCAGTGTTAATAATTGCCATCCCATTTCTGTTTGTAACCCCACCTTTTCCTCTTCTCAAAGGGTGGCAGTGTATAATAAAATCTCAATAAGTCAAACCATAGTCATTCAATATGCTTTCTAAATTTCCAAAGTCCTCTGGCATCAGTAATGGTAGGGGTCCAATTCAGCATTTTTCTTTTGAAAAGTGGAAAATTTTTACCATTTTTTTTCAATGATTTTCTGCAGATTTTTAAAACTGCAAATTGGTCCGCAATGGTTCCCTTCCGTCGGCCAAAAGAAACAAAAAAGGGTTCTTTGAGTCATTCTACAAATTGCATGAGAAAGTTGGATGTGTCTCCTTTGTTATCCTCTTCACGTGATCATATTCCTCGCGTCACATTCCCACTCGAAAAACAAACTCAGGAACAGGACAGAATAAAAAGATATAATGGACGTTTGTTAAGAATTTAATTTAAATGTAGTGTTAGTGTATTATCATGAATGTTATATTTTTTTACTTTTATATTTATCTGGAAAGTTATATTCAATATGATTTTTCATTGGTTGAGATTGTATAGAAGTTAAACTCGCTTATTCGAAGATGAAATTGCTCTCAAACTTAAAGTGCAATCTATCAGTCAAATTAGTTCCATGTTAATCACGTAATTTGATTTATTACATTGGAATGCACGCGTGACACGTGTTAGATACACATTCTGTTAGGAGTTTTTTCTCCCTTCTCCAACCTTCAAACATCTGAGGTGAAAAGGGACGTATATTATGGAGAAAAAAAAAACCTAAACCCTAAACCATATATCTTTTAAAGGAGTAGGTGATTATGGTGATAAAATAAAATATCATTTGATGCAACAGGGATTCAGGGGACTTTTTTTCACACATCATTCACAAATTCTTAGGCAAATCAATGAAATCATATACTAAAATCAACTTTTCTTTCATGGCTTGGAGTTATCCAATCACAAGAATCTCGAGGAATTTGTGAAGTATACGAAAGCATTATTATCATTAATCTATTACAATTTTTACTCAAATTATACCTATCTTATATTTCATGATTAATTTTTCAATTTGTTAATGACGCATTCCTTCACCATAGATGAATGGAAAGAAAAGAGGATAACATGATAAAAAAAAAAGTTTATGAACTTTCTTATTTCCAGTCTATGGTAATAAAATGAAAGTTCTCATGTAATCAACAAACTCATACAAATACAATTTCAGAAATTCTCAAATTCCCTCCCTTTCTACTATTTTCTCTTACTTCATTGCCTACACTGATTTCTGTTTTTCTTTTTCTCCCAACTTCCTATACAACCAAAAGTGGTACAAGTACAAACATTTTCCATATAAAACTACAAGGATGACAATAGAAACCTATTTATAAGACTCCACAAACATAATGCATCACTTATTAGTTTAAGAACTTCTGTGCTGAAACATCAAATGCTAAAATAGTTTGGTAACCATCTTCCTACTTATATGATGATACCTAGACAATTGTTGAACCAGCAAAGCTTCAAACTCCAAAACCAGCTATTTGTACCAACACATCTCAGGAATGTTTTGTATTGTATATACAAAAAAATCCTTATGCACCAGCCTGTTTTTGACAAAAAGAAGAAACATGCTCAAAATTTGTGACTGCTGGCTAGAACTCCTTTTGAGTGCTTTCATCGACAGCAGATCGAGCTGCATGGAATTGAACTGCATATTGTCTCTGCAGTTCTCTAAGCCTTTCCACCAGTTCTTGAAATGTTGGTCGGCAAGCAGGATCACTGTAGTAAATGACAAAGTTGTGAGTTAGCATGCGATCGTTGGTAATTGCACCACACTTTGCAACAAAATAACAAAGCATGACTCATAACCAATAATGTTTAATATGAAAACTTAAGAAGTGAAGTAGATAACTAAATAATCATTCACTAAAAGAAATAAGAAAAACGTTATTTTGAAAAAGACCAGGTTAACCAAACATAGGTTGTATGATCTATTAACTTTTTTGGTTTGAGTAAAAACCCTTTAGTCAACATATGCTAATAGCTTCAAGTTAGCTGTATGAATTAATTGAAAATGCTAATTTCTTGCACTAGAGGTCCAGAGTACCAAATGGGTTTTTGAATGCATAATTTATTTTACCTATAAATAATAAAGACACAATGGCCAAGTCACATTTACATTTATATTTTTGAAAGTGTGATAATAATTGTGTTTGGGTTATTGGATAATAATTAGTATGATAGAGTAACAAAAAAGCACACCTGTGCCAGCAGCTCTCAATTATAGAAGCCCACTGCGGATCAACATCTTCTGGAATTTCTAACCGATGGTTCATAAACCCTACAGCTCCAATAACCTGCAAGAGTCATAGAGAAACTGTTGTTCATATATGTACCCAATGAGCATGAATAGACATTGAAACATAATAACAGCCATTGGAGCAAATAATGATGATAAAAACTGTCTCACTAATCACTATCAACTTTTTAACATTATTTGTGAATTAACAACTACATTAGTGACAACATGATGAACAATTCAAAGTTCAAACACCTAAATTTGCATACTCTACGATAACATGGTTTATCTCAAAGAACTGAAACTAGTCAAATAAGAAATCTAACAATATTAAATGTTTCGATCACGAAATAGCAGGTTTTTTTTTTTTTTTTTTTTTTTTTTTTTTTTTTTTTTTTTTTGCATTCAACAAGCTTAACTATCACATCGCTTTTTATATCTGTTCACTTTAAGAAAATTGATGTTTACGTACGCATTAAAACTATACCTGCATTGGGTTGAGAGTATCCCAAGGGATCTTTTCAGTTGCAAGTTCCCACAATAACACCCCAAAGCTGTAAACATCAGACCTAATGGTCCCATAAAGAAGCAAAAAATAATTTAACGTGGGATTTTAGTAAGAATATGAAAGAAGGGGAGATGGAGGGAGACGCAGAGAAAGAGTAATTGATAGCATAAAGCAAACATACTTCTCATCTGACAGTTCATTACGAAGAACTTCTGGTGCCATCCATTGAGGCTACAAGGGGGAAAAGGGGGGGGGGGGGGGGGGGGGACAGAAGAATCAGAAACATATTTTGACACTATAGCAGTAAAAATTTAAAGGAAAATTTTCAAATAGATTAAACATTTAAGGGGCCAATACAAATGAAAGCCTACCGTGCCCTTTCCTGTCTTAGTAGTGAGATATGTTTCATGCTTAAGACGCGAAAGACCAAAATCACCAACCTGTTTTGCCAACACATGATTAAGATATTGTCTTGCTAAATAGGAAACAAAATGTTAATTCCTTAAGCGCGCTCAACTGGATGAGTACAACCTAAAATATGGAGAATAAGAAGAAAAGTGACAAGTTCCAAACCTTCACAGTCCAATTCTTATCAACTAGAATATTTGAAGACTTCAAATCTCGATGGATGATTGGGGGGTTGCAATGATGAAGATAATTTACACCTCGTGCCTATAGAAAGAGTAAGCATACACCATTGCTTCAATCACAGTGATAGAGATCCTTACTAAGATAACAAATCAAATCTTAAGTCAAAACCTACTAGTAGTGCTCCAAGAATAGATGTCTAAAATGATTAATATTTAATCATATTGAAAAGGGAAAAGAGAGGGAAACAAAAAAGTGAACACGATGCTATTACTCAACAAACATCAGCATCATAAGAATGAGATGTAATCAGTTAAAACATAGAAGATACATAGAGACAGAGAGAGATCTTGTCCATAATACAGCTTTTAAGTACTTACAATATCTAAGGCCATATGAATTCGCCGTCTCCACTCAAGTTTGGATGTGTTTCTCTGAAGCAAACGAAACAAGCTTCCCCTGAATTGATAGAATATAAATGGATGCAACAATCATCGGCAGTTCAATACAAATCAACAATATGTGACACATAACAAATTGAATCAGAATGCTCATGACACTGAGTAAATCAGAAATGAAGTACAAGACAAACCGTGGGAGAAACTCTGTTACAATGCATAGATGTTGAGGTGAAGTCACAGCCCCCATAAAGAGAATAACATTTGGATGACGAAGTCTTTTCATGAGAGACACCTGCATACAGAAGACATTGTCAAATCAATGGTAAACAAAGGAATTTTAAGGGAGGCTCAATTACCAGTTGGAACTACCGAATATAAGGTGGAATATGTATGATTATCAAAATAAAAGCAAAAAATAATCAAAGATGAAAGCTAGAGGAAGTGGAAGAGCAAGCTCTTGCACATACAGCTCTATACTGGCTACATTCTAGCATGGTACATCAGTATCAAACCCCTGGTATACCTGATCGCTATGTCTCCACTATTACAAATTAGGATTCAGTATTTTTCCATCTCTTATGAGTTTTGTCAATTCTATTAATTGAAATAAAATATTTTTTAATTTAGTATTAAGAATTGCAAAATATAACTGTACTAACCGTACTTCGCACCCGGGCTCCGAGCCCGGATTATATATCTATGAAATAATTTCCAAGTTCGTTATCTAATGCCAAAAGTTCAACTGAAGAAAATTCAGAAGAATAAAATTGAGCAAAATGAATCAACTTATCCTTGTCAAATGTAGAAAATGAATCTCTTGGATTTAAACATGTTACACAAAGAAGTAACTCAGTATTTATTTATGTGAAATGGTTGTTTAACTATTGAAGTTGTTGATCAATCACTTGAAAAAATAATTTAACTTGAAAACATAATTTTAATTAATGTAATGTTCATAACATATAATGTTTCTTCTAAACATAAAAATAGAATGAGTAAATAAAAATTAAAATACTGAATTTCTCATTGAAAATAAAAAAATAATTCAAAAAAAGTAATATAAAAATAATAACTTTAAATACACTAACCTCAAAGATTACTTTAACTATTGAAACATGAAAGAGTAGAAATGGAAGAAGTTTTTTTTTTTTTT